ATCAGGTCTGGATCAGGTGCGGATCTGCAGACGCGGTGCTATGTGTTTTTGCCGCGTTTTTTGTCGCGTTTTTGATGCGTTCCAGTTAAAAAATATATTTTTTTTTTTTTTTGCTGGAGTGGGGCTGTCAGTATGTTAGCTGCAGTGCAGTGCGTTTTTGATGCATTTTGCGTTTCCGGACCGTTTCCTGACCGTACAAAATGTGACATGCAGTATTTTTCTGTCGTAACCTGAATGGAATGCGCACGTGAGAACTGTAGCCCATAAAACACATGCATACAAATGGCCGGCCAGATGGTACCTGTCACTGTGGCGTAACAAATAAATGAGGTGCTTTGCAAAGCTGGAATACAAATGGTGGGAACTTGTCGATATTTTTGTCTTCAGGCTTCAGCAGCAGCACTGGAAAGATTTATGGAGTGGTCCTAGGGATAGCATTGAAAAAGTCAGGTGATTTAGTAAGCGATACTGAAGACACTGAAGATGAGTATTGTGCGCTAGATTGTAAATCATCTCATCTAGTAATCCAAAAGCGTTGTGTGATTCCTGCTGTCCAGTATTACACACCATTGTTAGCATAATCCTCCATATCTCTTTTCAATTTATGTCTATTAGGCATGAGCCGAACACCCCCCTGTTCGGTTCGTATTCGAACATTCGAATGGCCGAAATGTTCGAATTCGAACTCAATGCAAGTGTATGGGTGTCGAATGTTCGACCAGTTGCCGGTACATGTAATAAATACTGTGTACTGCCCCCCTTACCTCCGCTGCTGTCCCGGCCTCCGGGCCCCTGGTCCGTCCGCTCGCTGTCCCGGCCTCCGGTCCCCTGGATTAATGTCTATATATTTATATGGAAAAGGTTGAAAAAAATCAAGGCAATTGTTTATGATACGCAGTGCTTTTGCAGTTGGGGTTCACATCTACTTTAACATAGAAGAACACATGAAACTACTTGCACTGCCATGGGATGTTCAGAGCTCTGACCATTGTCTGGGCCCGCGTTGTAGAAGGGTTTGCATAGAATGGAAGACTCTTAAGGTGCCCATACACTGTACGATTCTCGTGCGAGAATCGCGGGAAAAGGTCATCGGAAGCCCACCCCTCAGCACAGCGTGCTTTCGATGATCGCAAGTACGATCTGCCTGTCCAAGATGGGCAGATCGTACGAGCTTTCAATGAGCTTTCGACCATCGCAAGACAAAGGTCTTGCGATGGTCGTAAGGTGTATGGCCACCTTTACACTATATTGTCAAAAGTATTGGGATCCCCCTCCAAATCATTGGATTCAGGTGTTCCAATCCCCTCCATGGCCACAGGTGTATAAAATCACGCACCTCGGCATGCAGACGCTTCTACAAACATTGGTGAAAGAATGTGTCACTCTCAGGAGCTCAGTGAATTCCAGCGTGGTACTGTGATAGGTTGTCACCTGTGCAATAAGTTCATCCGTGACATTTCCTTGCTACTAAATATTCCGCGGTCACCTGTTACTGGGATTATAACAAAGTGGAAGCAACTGGGAACACCAGCAACTGTTGACAGAGCGGGGTCCGCACATGCTGAAGTGTACAGTGCGCAGAAGTAACCAACTGCCTGCAAATTCATTAGCTACAGACCTCCAAACTTCATGTGGCCTTCAGATTGGCACAACAACAGTGCCTAGAGAGCTTCATGGAATGTGTTTCCATGGCCGAGCACCTGTGGGGACTCTGGAGTGACCAATCACGCTTCTCTGTCTGGCAATCCGATGGACGTGCCTGGGTTTGGAGGTTGCCAGGAGAACGGTACTTGCCTGACTGCATTGTGCCAAGTGTAAAGTTTGGTGGAGGGGGGATTATGGGGTGGGGTTGTTTTTCAGGGGTTGGGCTTGGCCCCTTAGATCCAGTGAAGGGAACTCTTAAGACATCAGCACACCAAGACATTTTGGACAATTTCATGCTCCCAACTTTGTGGGAACAGTTTGGGGACGGCCTCTTCCTGTTCCAACATGACTGCACATCAGTGCACAAAGCAAAGCCCATAAATACATGGATGGGGGAGTTTGGGATGGAGGAACTTGACTGGCCTGCACAGAGTCCTGAACTCAACCCGATAGAACACCCTTGGGATGAATTAGAGCAGAGACTGCGAGTCCGGCCTTCTTGTCCAACATCAGTACCTGACCTCACAAATGCGCTTCCGGAAGAATGGTCAAACATTCCCATAGACACACTCCTAAACCTTGTGGACGCCTTCCCAGAAGAGTTGAAGCTGTCATAGCTGCAAAGGGCGGAGCCAACCCAATATTGAACCCAGCGCACTAAGACTGGAATGCTATTAAAGTTCAGGTGCGTGTAAAGGCCGGCTTCTCAATACTTTTGGCAATATAGAGTTTCTTATATGGGTGGCCCGGGGACAAAAGTGCAGAATGGCTGTTAGAGGTTCAGATACCGATCACATAAACACCTGGGTTCTGCGTGGCTTTCTCTGTATTACACATCTCCACTCCCGTATCTTGTTTTTTAATCGCATTTTCTAAGAATTCCATTTACAATCAAAGAGGTGTCATCTAGTGAGGGCAATACCGAGGGGACAGTTTATTTGCTTACTACATAACTGCTCCAATATAGAAGATTTCGAGAAACAGGCTAGAGATAAGAGATGTCGGTCCCTACCAAAGGGTTATGATGGGAAGAACACAGAAATAGCTTGTAAATATGCTAAGAAAATAGAAATAAAAGATGAATTATTATTGAGGAGGAGTAAGGAAAGGAGAGGGAAGAAAATGGCTCTGCCAGGTTTAGCGTTCAATATTATAATATTAAAAAGATTGTAAAGAGGTGCTGACCAGTTTTGAAGATTATCATCAAGTGGTCAAGAATGGGGTGCATTTTGTGGCTAACAAACCAATAACTTCGGCACAACAATTGTGTTTGAACGTGCTTTAGTGAACAAGCAGGGGTCACTTGCTTACATACAGTTGGACTATATGGAGATACTAGGTGTTCCAGCTGTGATATTTTTTGATAGGTAAATAGTAACATCTTGTGCTACAAATAGACAATATAGGATGAGCCAATCATTGAATTATAACATGAAGTTTGTAGTATATGCCTTGACATGCAGTCTTTGTAAGATCCAATACAAAGGAAAGATAGGTAGGAGGCTCTGTGATAGGATAAGAGACCATTTCTATGATATGAAATCATGAAAATATACCTGTGTGGTTAGGCACTGGAGACAAGTTCAAAATACTAAATTAGATGCCCTAGTAATACAAATAATAGAGAGGGTGCATAAACTAATGAGAGTGAGGGCGTGACAGAATACTACTGAGAGAGAAAGATGTATTGGAGCAAAAATACCTCCCGTTCCCCCGTTCCTTCCTGCTCTTTCTCTCCCCCCTTCCCTATTTTATACCTTTTTCCTTTGTTTCACTTTCCTCCCTTTCCTCCTCTTGCCCCCTCCCTATTTATCTTTTCCTCGTCCCCCTTTGCGGTGGTCAGTACAAGCAGTAAATGTATGAATAATATGATATACGTGTACATGGCGGAATATGTAACCGTTTTAGAAATGTATACTATTAATTTTTATATGATGTCACAGAATACCTCCTTTCCTGAGGAAGCAAGTCTCAAAGCGCGTTGAATTGGTCCACTGTGAACACCACTGGAAGAGGAATAAAGATTTTCTATGTGAAAGAACTGTATAACAGTACATAGTTGTATAGATTAGGGATGCACTGATATATCGGCCGCCGAAACATATCGGCCGAAAATGGCACTTTTGTATAAATGCCGAAAGTGCCATATTTGTGCCAATACATCGGCGCATCCCTGCTTTCTTTCCTCCCCGCTGGGCGCTGCTCTGTGTCCCAGCCAGGAGGAGAGAAAGTGTGACAGCAGGCCGAGCGCTGCGGGAGGAGAGCGCTGTGATCCTCCTATCACAGTCCAGCAGAGCGGTGTGTGGGCGGAGACAGCCCGCGCTGTCACAGGAGGCTGAGCTCTCCTCCCGAACCGCTCGCTCAGCCTCCTGTGTGGTACAAGCAGTCAGTGATCGCTGAGTGTTTGTAGATAATTGAGGACATGGTATGGTTACTATATCCTCAATTATGAATGAATGGGAAGTGATCTACATCACTGGTAAGTTTTTGGGACAGAATGGGCCGTAATCCTGGATATGGGCACCACGTCCTTCAATCAAGCAATTGAACCAATAGAAACAGAGGAAGGGCTTTTAAGGTGCCTAAACAAGTTATTCATTAAAAGAAAGTTTTTTATTTCTACACATTAAAACAAATAATGTACAACGATATACATGACATGACTTAATTGCAAACATCTTTTGTAAACCACTGATACAGCAAATACCAAACAGCTTAGATGTTAGTGTTCACTTTTGCAATAGTACATATTTGAACAGATAAGTTGTTGTATAGCTGCGAGTAGTGCTGGAAATGGTTTGTGACTCAACGCATTTCGATTAGATGGCCAAAGACGATCACATTGATATGGTAAGGCCGTACAAGCTGGAAGCCCCAACAAAAGAAGTAGACAACATTCCCATGAGGGTGTGGGACCACAGGAGGGGATCATCCCAAAGCACCAGTGGCCTCTCCAATATCTTTCCTTGGTGGTCCAGTGGCTTCCACTCTACATGCGGTTAATCTGCACGGATACACATTTAATCTGTACATATGCAGTGTATCTGCACGCATGGAGGGTGGAAGCCGCTGGACCACCAAGGAAAGATAGTCCAGTTGATTTGTCTTAGTGACACCTTAAACGTGCCATTGCAATATATTGTTGTTGCCCTTTTCTATATTCTACCCCCCAAATAATTGCCTTTACGTACAATTTAAATCTTTGATTTGGTGTAAAGTAAAAAATACAAAGTAATAAAAGCAGAAAATAATATAATAGAAAAGTCATTTTATTTGTTTATCCTTTTTGTGTAATTATTTTGGACTTTACATTTTTTTTATTGAAGCCTGTTCTGGCATGTGATGTGGTACAGTAAGGTGGTTGGCGATTGGTGTCAGGCTCCCGTCTGCTGGAGGAACACACTGACAATGAGCGATGCCGACAGTAAACCCAACGAGGCCGTGACAATGGTCCCCGGGGACAGGGGCTCCGTGTTCTTCTCCAGCCACCTGTACTCCTCATTGCGGCCTTGTCTCTGAAGTTCCGGCAGCATGATCTCTCTGATCTTCTTGTAGTGTTTTTCTACATGCTTAAGCTATTGAAGTAGATACGCAGATATAATAAATACATGGTGAGACCAAGTACTGTAATGGACACAATATTTCTAATCATCCTTAACTGCATATAAAATTATGCTATTATTCTAAACTCACAAATAATCCTTTATGGCTACAGATGATTGTATCAAAATCATTGTTTGTGTGCCTGGAGTTCACTTTAAATTCTTCCAGATGTGTACATGTGGTAGTGGTGGACCAGTAAATATGAGAATTGTTTCTAATGCAAATATAAAAGAAGGAGTTTTCAATTATAGTCCCAGTCCTCGGAACACAATTAAAGTGACATTAAACCCTCAGATTTTTTAACATAAACCAATACTGTAATGTGCGCCTTACTGTAATCCATGGTAGTTTCCCTTCTCTTTGCTGCTCTTCCTTTTAAATCCTCATGTCTTCTCATGCTTGGGGAGAACTTCCCTTTGCAGCTGAGTGCCTCTTCCTGTAGTGCTGGCTCAGGTTACAAGCCTAAACAAACCTACACACAGACACCGTATATCCATTCCTGAGACAAGGCAGTCTGCTGCAAAACAGAAGTTCTGCCCAGCATGAGAACAGATACGGATTTAAAAGGAAGAGCAGCAAAGAGAAGGGAAACAACCATGGATTACAGTAAGGCGCACATTACAGTATTGTTTTATGTTAAAAAATCTGAGGATTTAATGTCACTTTAATGCCACCCACAGTCTGCCCAAAGACTAGGAAGTCCTGCGTAGATCCTACCCACTTACCAGGGTGGCCCCTTCCAAGCCCCATGGAGGAAGTGAACCCGCGATGAAACTGTAGCCTGTTTAGAGGTGGTGCTGGTCTTAGTGTGCTGCCTCTCTGATTACAATAGAGGAATCACTCCTCAGACTATCCAATCCTGGATACTTGGTTAACAGCGCCTTGAACAAACGGTTATCTCGCTTGGAACTTTGTTTAAAATATTTATTGAACAAGCAATGTTTTTACATGAAAGCTCTGAAGAAGGGGAGGGCCTTTCTCTCGAAATCGGTTGGATTATCTGATGTTCTCGTTCAAAAAATATTTTGGATTTTCAAGTGAGATGATCCGCCTCGGTTTAATGTCACTTTAACAAGGAGGTAACCCTTGTAGTGTGTGTGTGTGTGTGTGTGGGGCACTGCAAAGGTTAATTAATTTTATTAATTCTCAGAATTCAGCTTTAGACAAAATAGTCTACTGTATAATGAATAGCCACCCAAACGCTTGTATTTAACAGCCAACGCCGGCGCGCACAAGCAAGAAAAAAGGCGCCGTTTATGGCAACCCACTGTGAACAACGTGCCGTCTATACAGTTATATGCAATGGGTGGACAGCAAGCAGTTAAAGAAACAGCTAAAATAAAGCCGAACAGAAAAACTGAAATAAAAACGATTTTTATCATATTCATGTAAAACCTGCAAACCACAAATAAACAAGCTAGCTACAACGAGTGAGATGTGTGCTGCTGTTTCTGTGTTATCTTATTATGGAATTGAGGTACAGATTCTGAGAATGTTATTTGCATGTTATCTGACACATCAAGTCCAATTCTCTACTTTGGTTTCAGGTTCAGTAAGGCAGAGAATCCGGTTTTACCTTTTATTTTTTTAGATTATTCAGATATGAAGACCCTTACCCACTTTAATTTGGTTCCCCATAACCCTGAGGGGCATGGGTACCCCTGGTCATGAACCCCTTGTTTTAAAGGAGAACTATGAGGTGAGTGATTTTCACTCACCTCATAGTTCTAGCCGACCTGTGACAATGAGACTGTCACAGGTCGGCTCAGTAGATCGGAAGGTGAACGAACATATACCGGCGTTCGCTCACCTCTCGATCCTGTCACGGCTCTCTGCCATGACAGGGGGAGGGGCTGGATTCCCCCCGCCCCGATCCGCCAGCGCTGACTGGCGGAACGGACGGGGCAGGGGGCGGGTACAGCTGGCTCTGCCTCTAGATAGGCAGAGCCAGCTGTCAGTCACGCAGCTGGGCGGATCCCAGCAGAATTGTCGGGATCCGCTTCAGCTGCGGCGTCTCAGTATATAGGGAGCTGTAGCTCGCGGTATACTAAGCTTTGGGTGACGGGAGGACGCTAGTTTGTGTCCTCCCGTTACCCTAAGGAGAACTATGGGGAAAATACTTAACCCCATAGTTCTCCTTTAAGGCATGGAGCTCTAAGCTGTCTTTCAGGTACAAGTTATAAGGATACATTCATCATTTTTCCTTAGTGTTGGTAGTCGTTAGGTGAAGCTTAAATGACAACCTGGCTACAATGTATCATTAATATTATTTTGTCTACTCACGTGCAGTTCTGTCAATAGACTGGTGTCAATCAGATTTCGGTCATATGGGACTAAAGTCACCTTCTCAAAAGTCAGATATTTCTCTCCTCCAAATGTGTGCTGTGATGGAGGTATAAATGTGAGTTCAATGGATGTTTAATTGCACAATCCATAGCGCATGATGATATACATTGTATCAATATTACTGCAATGGGTTAGGGCAAAATTATAAAGAGACCTTGTCACACATTCGAGGCAAAGTGACAGTGTGTCAAGGACAGGGGTACCAAGGGTGCAGGGATAAGGGAAGCAAGTATATATGTATGTCAGAAATTGACCTGCAAGCTAGCAAATTACCCCCACATTCTCCAATCTGGACAGAGGTAGCAATTGTAAACACTGCGCACATACTAATATCAAGCCGCTGCCACCAGTTGTCAAGGATCACACCCACAGCGACTTGGTAACTGGAATGAGATCCTTGTTTGGTGGAGGAAAAATTAGCTGAGGGGTTGGCTTGGTAAGGTAAAACAGTTATTACAGGACACCATCTGCATAGAGTTTGCATGTTCTCCCTGGGATTGCAGGAGCTCCGGCTTCCTCCCACACTCCAGAGACATGCTGGTAGGTTCATTGGCTCCTGTCTAAATTAGCCCTAGTGTGCGAATATGTATGTGTATGTGAGATAGGGACCTTACACTGAAAGCTAATTGAGATCAGGGACTGATGTATATGTACAGTTTTAAATAGCTGCATATTGAGCTATATAAATACCAATAAGAAAAAATATAACAATAAAATATACAAAAAATTAAATATATATAAAAT